ATTAATAACTTTTTGGTAATATGATTTTATAAATTACTACAAAAAGAGTATATAATTAGATATATGTGTAAATTTTATATTAGCTATTTAAGGAGTCTGTTTAAAGGTTTTTTACCAATTGTTATATCTAATACTTTTGCTTGAATGTTTCATTTTAAACCCTTTAAATTTGTATTTATATTAAGATTACTGAGTTATGCCTAGGTTATTATCTTAAGTTTAGAACTATTTTATTCTTAAGATAAACTTCTTAGAGCCTTCTGTATTCATTTTTATAGCTAATTTAGTATTACTATAGTAGAACCAATACTTGTAATTAAAGTTATATTTTTAATTACTATATTTGTATAGAATTTACTTGAACCTTAGTATCTACTTTATAGCATATCTTCAGTACTTCAGTATACTTTTAACTGTTCTTCAGATTTTTAATTTAGATAACTCAAATAAGACTATAACTAGTCTATCAATATATTAAATTAGTTTGATATCTTTTTTCTTTAGTTTATTCTGATAACCTAGTTAATAATATCTTTGAGACTTTCAATCCAGAGATCTTATCTATCTGAGTACTTCAATATTAGTATCTATTTTTTTAATTTATCTTTTAGTAGCATCATCAAAAATTTGTATTATTTTTCTACTTAGATCTTTCTAAATAGACTTTTTGTTTTCTAATTTTAATAGATTTACATAACTGCAAGGGTTTATTTAGAATTTGTATTACTTAATGTTAGTTTGTATTTTTTTGTATAACTAGTTATTTAGATGTCTCATAACTGCCAGTTATGCTAATATAATCACTATTATAGGTATCTTAACTTAATTATTAGAAATAGTTGCTATAATATAAGTATTATATAAGTAATTATTTAAATTTTTGTTGTAATAAGATTTGAATACCTAATCTACTACTTGGAAGGTTGACAACTTATTTATTTTACTAAGTTATTACATTTCTGATTATTTTTTTATTTTTATTTATTTATAGTAAACTTAATAAAAAATAATATAATTATAAAATTATTTAAATATGTGATTGTTTATTATCTAGTATATTTATTTTTTATTTTTAATTACTTTATTAATACAAGTTAGCATAAATTTAATAAAATGTTTATATGTATCTATTTCTAATTCAACTCAGATTTTTTTGGTTTTTTACAATTTATTATATATTTGAGTTTTTATAAATGATAATTTATTTCATTCTATAAGTGCTTTATAGGATTTAAATTTAAAGATTATAATAGCTAATTAAATATCTTTATATTATTTTCTTTAAACCAAACTTTTTGTAATATATTTAGAATTATTATTTTGTTAAAAATTAGCTTTATAAGGGTGTAGTGACCTAGTGAAGTGGTCAGGTTGTCAACCTTCCAAGTGGTAGATTGGGTGTTCTAATCTCATCAACAGTAAAAATTTGAATAATCACCTATGTAATATTCATATTATAGCAACTGTTACTAATAATTAGGTTAGAATACTTGTAATGATGATTATACCAGAATAACTGGCAGGTCATAAGGCATCTGTGTAAGTATGACATTACACAGAAAAATGCAAACCAACTAATCGGGTGGTGCAAACACTAAATAAGTCCTTGTGGCTATGTAAATCTATTGAAATTAGATAACAAGAAATCCATTTGAGAAAACCTGAGTAAAGAGGTAGCTAGATCTTTGATGACTCTACTGTAAAGGCTAGCTTGGGAAAATGAATACCAAGGTTGTAGTATCCAGTCATAATAGCTAAACAGGCAAGAATCTCTGAACTAGGAGTTTTAGGAGTACCACTAACCAGACTGTCAGAATGAACTGAAAGAAAAGAATATTAGGCTAACCTAATATATTGATGGACTGGTCATAATCCTATATGGGCTATCTGAATTGGGAGTTTGATAAAAAGACAGGTAAAAAGGCAGGAGTATACTAAAGTACCAGAACTATGCTGTGAAGTAGATGCTGGGTCTAAGTAAACTCTACAAGAGCATAGTGGTTTAATGGTCAGCCTTAACTGTAAGTGTTGGTACTGCTATAGTGATATCTAGATCAATTGTAAAAATAGGTACAGAAGGCTCTGGGAGGTTTACCTCAAGGATAAATTAGTCCTAAAATTGAGACAATGATCTGAGCATCTGGGTATGATCCAGTAAGTTAACACAGGTTACAAATTCAAAGAGTTTAAAGTAGAACACCCAAGCAGAGGTATTAGGAATGACAATTGGTGAAGAACTTTCAGACAAACTCCTTAAATAGGTAATATAGAAAATTTATATATGTAGCCAATTGTACTCTCCCCTGTAGTGATTCATTAAACCACAATACTGATAAGTGATTAATAAAAGTCAAAAGACCAAAGAGGTTATTTTAAAAAAAAAATTAGCTTTATTTTTATTTAAATAATACTACTTTCTTCAAGACTTAATAGTATAATTTAGTATTTATATTTTTATAAATATAACAGAGATTGCCAACATTACTTAAAATAAAACATTCTTATATTATAATTTTGTTACCTTTAAATTTTTCATAAGCTGAACTTGATAGTCTCTTAATAGGTTATGAAACTTTTTTTAATAATATTCTTTTATATTAGACCAAAAATTATAAACTTTATCTTATCTGATAATACTACCTTATTCTAATTTTCTAACTTTTAAAATTAGTATTTTTTAGCAAATATTAAATGTTTTTTTTAGTTTTTTTGAACAGATATAATTTTTTATACTTAATTTAGATATATACTAGTATTCTACTTATTGTATTTATACTAACAAAAAATTTTTTTTGCTTTATAGTATTTTTTAATCAATAATTAGAATATATTTTTCTGATATAATATAACACAACCAGTATTAGACTCTGTACCAAAAATTCATTTCACTGAACTTATAAACTAAACTACTAAACCACTAAACTATAAACTGAACTATTGAACCTATAAGTCCAGTTCTAGTTCAATTTTACTAAACTTATAAGCAAGTCCAATATTGAACACAACACAGTTCATTTATAATGACCAAACAAAAACTTATGATGTCTAACTCTTTTCAGTTTCTCAAGATATGTATTTCTTTCATATAATACTTGAGTCTTATAATAATTGATTAAATAACATTTTTATGAATAGTCATTTCTCAGATTGATCATTCTTCTTAAAGAAAGATATAAATTTAAACACATTTTTTCAACAATAACTGAACCATATAGTTTACAATTTTTTTACAAAAGACAGAAAGGTTACAAGGTATAATTTTTATATATAGTAAAGAGTTGTTTTGAAACACAAAAAAACTATGCATTGTAGTCCAATATTTGTTTATTACAACAGCTGAAAAAAAATGCATAATTTTTCTAGATTTTTGTTCAAATTTTTTTGAAATAAAGAAAAAAATCCTTCATATACATGGAAACTTTGAGTTATGACAAATCTAAATTATGAATTTCATAATACAGTAATATTTAGATCACAAGATATCAACATTTTAAGTTTTACTTTCAGGTGATGCATTCTTTTTGAAGTCACTGTACAGCAGTGCTGTCATGCTATTTCATATGCAGCATATTTTTCGATAAGACATATATTTAACAGTACATGGGCTGCCGTCAATAGAAATCAAGCAAATTTACATTTAAAAAAAAATTAATGCCTTAACTTTTATAGCTCATGCCTCGATGGATTTTAAAGCTATCTTGATGGTTTAATATTCAAAAGAAAGCTTAGATCGTAAGCTTCTTTTTGAATATTAAACTATTAATATAGTTTTATAATCAATCAAGATATAAGCTATGAAGTTAAGGCATTAATTTTTTTTCAAATGTAAATTTGCTTGATTTCTATTGATGACAGCCCACATGTTTCGACAATCTTTTTCTTAAACAAGACATTTTTCCCGAAAACTATTCTTTGACAAATAATTCTAATCAGCACTAACTCTAAATCAGGTTAATTTTATGTCGAGAAAATGATTATCAGAGAAATACCTTGTCTAAGAAAAGGATTTGGTTTGTCTTTCATTTTGTTGGACTAAATTATTATGGAAAACATATACAAGCAATCTGCACAGCCTTAACAAATATCAGCTGGCTATCAAGTTTTTTTCTTTTTTTGAATATGTGATGCATTAGCTGTCATTTCAACAAGTTATCACCCTATTGTGACTGTCATCTCGACAGGCCACAATTTAAATAAACTATATACTCAAAAAATTGATCAATACTTAGATCGTTCTCTTACTATAGCTGCTGTCCTGGCAAGCCAATTCATTTGAATATTGTCACACTTCTGGGTAGACTACAATTTTAAATGACACCTATACTCAAAAAACCTGTTCAATTCTTCGACCATTCTCTTGCTATGACTGCCGTCCTGGCAGGCAAATTCTGTTCAATTTCCAGAGAGAAAAGGAGGGATCGATATAACCAGAACGAAAGTCAAGTTCGCGGAAAAGACAAAGGTTTAATTCTTATCATTTTCCACTTGCCTACTGATATACTGTGATCCAATTACCTCATAATAATCAATTTATTTATTTAGAAAAATATGACAGCTATTGGTAGAATTTCACGAGAAACATTTTTAATTAGGTCGCAGAAAATGGTTTCCTAATAATTTTAGAGCTATTTCTGTTGTTTTTATAAAAAAGTCAGTTTAATTTTTACGTTACACTTGATCTTAAAATTCGATTGGTCAAGATTACAAGGGAGGAAAAATTTTGTAGGATTTAATTTTTGCCACTTTTTAGTCACATGATGGCATTTATCTGCAAACCCGAAATGTTTTTTACCATCCCTTTTTCATTGACAAATTTGGCTGATTTAGATTAGGTTGTCTTGCTTTAGGTTGTTCTCAAGCACCTACCTCTATGTGATTGCATAATGATTGAAATGACACATAAGCATTACAATCAATTGAAATAATGATCGTAATGATTGCTTGAGCATTTTCAATCTTATCCATTGTTACATTACTATCATTACAATACTATTGTACCAATGTCTCCAAAAAGAAAAAAAGCGATTACACCATTAGCTTTTAAAACTTCAGCTTCTAAAATGTTAGCACCTAAGCCTTTAGCTCCAAAACCTTTAGTGGCTAACCCTTTGTCTTTTGAAACTTTGTCCCCAGCCATCCATCCTTCTCCTTTATCAAATTTAACAACCAATTTATTGTTACAACAACGGCAATTCTCCACTACACAACTTCAGGTGGATTCTTTAAACGAATTAACATCTAAATATAATGAACTAGTAAAAGATTATTTTTTATAGTAGCATAAACTTTATAAACATAAAAAATAACTTTTTTTAGATTTCATTATTTCAGCTTTCTTTAAATATCTCACGTGATCAAGAAAATTCTTCGCCTCTTGATCCTATAGCTATTAATCCAAGTTCTGCCACTATTTCCACTGTTTCTCATGATCCAACATCAGCTTTTGTTATGTCTAGTGTATCTAATCGATCAACTAACCGATGGACCTCAACAGAAACCCGCATGCTTATTAATAAAGTAGGAAGATATCAAAAAAAGTTAAAAAATGTAAGAGATCCAAAGGAAAAAGGCCGAATTTGGAATATGATTACTTCAAATATACAAACTTCTGATGCTGCAAGTTCAGTCTTAAAAGAACGCACAAAGACATCAATTTAGCAGAAATGGGATGCGCTTCTTCAAAAATATCGTGATATCAAAGATAGAATTTCAACTACCAGAGAAGAGGCCATTCAAAATAACTGAAAATTTTTTGATGATATGGATATATTTTTAAAAAGGGATCCCAGTGTAACTGCACCTATTACAAGCGATTCAATCTACAGAATTAAGCATAAAATGCAGGAGAGCATTAAAGATCAAGATGCTGATGAGATAAAAGTTATTTACCTTTATTATTATTATTATTATTATTATTATTATTATTATTATTATTATTATTCTAATCAAATATTTACAAGTATATAGAGTGAAGTAAAAAAACGAAAAAGCACATGCAATGAAGAAAAATCAAATTTGAAGAAATTCGAGCTCTTATTAAGGATCAAACAGATGTTATTTCAGAAATTATTAGAGATCAGTATATGCATGCTTTTGAGGTTCAACAAAAACAACACGACGAACAGATGGATATTTTTAGGCAATTCCTATTGAAATTCTAAATAAATATAAATATTTTAATAATATATTGCTAATTATTAATTGCATTAAACATTAAAGCTTATTTAATATAAGTTCATAAGAAGATCTGCTAAATATTCCCTTTTTCGATTACCTGCCGTTTCTTCCCTTGCTTCATCTATTGATATAGCTTCATTTATACTATTTTCATTACTATTTATATTATTATTTAATTTACCATCTTCTAAAAAAAATAAATCCCCCATATCAATACAGAAATTATGTAGTATACAACATGCATGTATAATTTTAATAATTCTTTCCATATCAGTGCAATATATTTCATTTAATAAAATTCTCCATCATCCCTTCAAGCACCCGAATGCACGTTCAATAACCATCCTCATTGATGATAAAACTTTATTAAAACGTTTTTCTTATTGTGTTAGTGCGTAATGATCAGGGTATGCTTTCATCAAATACATTCAAAGAGGATATGCTGTATCAGTGATAATGTAAGTACCACCCGGAACCCACAATTCAGCATTCGATGAAATTTCATGAAAAAGAGAAGAACAATAAAACACACGAGCATCGTGTACACTTTCTATAATAAATTAAAAATAAAATAAAAATATAAAATAAAATAAAATAAAATATAAAAAAAATAAATAAAAATAAAAAAAAAACCAAATAAATAAATTAAAGTATAATTAAATTACTAGCCTGCTTCACCAGCATGTATATATGTAAAGCACCCTTCGTGATCAACAACTGCCAGAAGATTTATAGAATGAAAATTTTTATGATTAACATATCGTACACCATTTTCAGAAGGTGGATGAATGGGTATATGAGATCCATCCATTGCGCCAATAACATTTGGTAATTTAGGATTTCCAAATTCGGCTTCACTATTTTCAAATCCTCATGTTACAGTTACTAAACGTGATCCTTGTGGCCATGCAATTAGATCGTTTTCCAAATCTAGTAATGCCTTTAAAAATCGGTCTGTAAAGTGGCTTACAGATCCTTGGCTTACGCCTAATGTTTGCTCTAGCATTCGTATTTCAACCCCATTTGCTAGCCGCTATAATACAATCACAACCTGTTTCCACACAGGTGTTGCATTAGGTGCATTTGACATAAAAACTGGATGAGTTTCTAAATAAGCCACAATAGCTTGGAAAGTAGCTAAATTAATACGAAAGTGCCGCCGAAAAGAGTTGTAACCTTCCCTATCTACTAAAAATGGAAAAACTTCAATCCAAAACCCTCCAGTTTTGGGTCTTAGTTGGCATTGTGCTCTTGTATTGAGCAAAGAAAAAGCGAGTGGAATAACTGAATTCAATATTACATAATTAAAAGTAAGAAGGTAATAGATGCTTGTTCTTTGCATTTGAGTATTCGAGTATCTTTGGTTGGATAAAAGGGTTTCCAATATGAAGAGTAGTGTAATAATTCTTTGTCGCCGATGATAGTTTTGTTGAAGATCCATAATACGTATAAAAATAAAAAGGAAAGAAATATATGTTGAGCAATCTTCCTGGTTACTCTATCAATGGAAATTTTTAGCCAATCAACGTAACTCTATGAAAAAAAAAGATAGGTGTTAAGTCCAGGTTTTTTTGATTTAGATAGTTATCACGATCTATTTTTTCTAGCCAATCAGATCACTTTATAAATCATAGAGGTAGGTGCTTGAGAACGACCTTAGTTAGTATTGGCCAGATGTAGAAGTGGCTGTCGTTGAAACGAAGTCAGTGAAATATAGGGAAGGTAAAAAATTGCTTTTGGTGGTTTTTAGGTTAATTTCAACTTCAGTGTTGACATGAATTTTTTCGTTAATCAAAATATGTCATCAGTTTGTGTTACAAAAGTCAAAGTCAGAAGAATCAATTTGTCCTTTACACCGTAAGCCGAAGTGCCGGTACATAGATACCCAATCATCTTCACAGTTTTAGCCCCCCCAAATTGCTTGCGTTCTGCAGTTACGTCGCTGATACTAATACACACATCAAAAATTCGAAGGTAATTAATTGTCCGGAGCGTAGCGACGGACTTTTGTGTCTACGCAAGGTGATATAAAAATTACGTTTTTGATGCATTATGACCAAAGATAGTTTCTTTTTGATGCATCTGAATAAACATTATGAAGAATCACATCAAAAATGTAATTTGGAAATTTTTTGTCCGTCCGCACGCGTGTTTAAAAAATATGATGCTTATGCGTTTTTGTTATGTCATGAGCTCGGGACACACAATGCCACGCATTAGTCTAGTATTTGGACATTTTGAGGTAGTACAAAAATGAGATTTTTAAAGGACCCGAAAAAGTGAGCAAGGAAATAAAAGGATAGAAAGACTGTGCTAAAATAATAACATTTTTCAAGATTCTCGATTTAGTTTTCTTATGATGTCATGTACCATTAGATTATAATTTTCCAACTCGCAGGCAAATTTGCCTGCGAAACGGTGTAAGGGATAATCATGATTATGGCCATAGTATTATTAATCATGATATCAGATATCAATATCAGTAATGATTTTTTTTTAAAACGTAAAAAATCATTTTAAGGCAATATAAACCTGATTTAAAACAGAATGTTCTAAATTATTTGCCATTCCTAGTGAAATAGAGTGTTGACGTAATTGGTTGTCAGTAAAATGTAATATTGGGAAATGGTCTGTCCGTACAATGGTGTTGGCTAAATAGGCCGTCGGTGAAATCTACCAAGACCACACCTAGATATATCGACAATTTCTTTGTTTTTGAGAGTGTCTATATAACCCAGTGCGGGTCATATCCCGCTTTATATGACCAAGTTGGTCATAATTTAATAGTATAAATTTTATAACAGGTTATAAGGTCATAACCTATAATTGCCATAACAGATCATAACCTACAATTGCCAGATCATAACCTATAATTGCCATAACAGATCATAACGATAACCTACAATTGCCAGATCATAACCTATAATTGGCTAATATGTCATAACGGTGATATAACCAGAGTGACGTGATAAAAGTCTATAACTTGTCTCCTATAAATTTACGTGCAAACTAAACTAAACACCGGACAAATATTTAACCGAAAATTTAATAGTATTAACGATCCGTAGCTGTAGAATAAGTGTCGCACTGATTTTGATATGAATTTTTAAATTTTTTGGGGATGTTTTTTTTAGGGATGGGTTTGAATTTAGGTTATAATTGACAAATAAACCGTATATGCAGATTTTGGTAGGGCTTATATTTTCAAATTGAGACCTCAAATTTCAGCATCAGCCGCGAAAATAAGTATTACATATGATACAAAAATAACTCCTATGACCGATCATGCCGAAATCACAAAATCGAATCGGGTGAAAAATAATTTTTAGGTGTTTCAGGGATTATGAAAACAGCTATAAATTTGTACGGCTAATATCAAAGTTTTATTAATGTTAATTACAAATAAATTAGCAATATACAGTAAGACTATTTGAACATTTAAATATTTTAGCGTTTAGTAAGATTTAACTTTCAGTAAAAACTTATTTACGCGAAATAATGATAATGGCTATGGGTATTAAATTGCGCATATATGGTAGGTAAGACCTTTAAACACTTTTAGTAAACTAAAAGTAAACTAAAAGTTGTTCGAAAATACTTTCAGTGGACTTTAAAGTATTTAAACTAGCAAAAGAAATCCGATCTCAACAGACAAAAAGTAAATCATAAGTCAACTTGGGTCAAAGCTAAAAATATCTCATCGGAATTCACTTTATATTCGTCAAAAGTGTAAGTAATCTCTTAATAAATGGCTATCGAAATTCATTGAAAATTTGTTGAAATTAATTCGTAGAAATATAAGTAACCACTTAATAAGAAATTTGTCAAAATTTATTAAAGTTATTTTTTGAATTTCTGCTAGTAATACATATCAGGCTAAAGATTGATTCGTGGTTAAAATTTTGGTTGATATTTAAATATTACACGATTTTCTAATATTAATTTAACATTTCGACCCATTAATAAGACAAGACTAGAGATGTACCTTCGTGTGAGATGATTACATTCACTTTGAAAGGTAAACTTGATAAAAATCACAGCAATCAATGGAATTTATGCTAGTAAATTTGATATACAGTAATTTGTCACTAAAAACTGTAATGTGCTAGATTACAATTTTTTTGTCTCATAAGAGATTCATACAAATACCTCGCGTAAATCACGCAATATATATTGGATATATGCAAAGGTTATGTCTGCGAAGCATATCTCTATATATAAGATCGTTATTATTACAGACTCAATCCAACTTGTGTTTAGTAAATTGGCACATTTTTGAGGATTTCTCTTATCAAAATTCTAGTGATTAACGTTAAGGCTTGTATCAACTCACGAATCACGAATCATAGTACTCGAATCACTCGATCTAGTTAAACATTGTGTTACAGTTTATAAAGGATTTATAAAGATAGATATATTTCATATGTAATACGATTTACACAGTTGTGTAATCAATCAATTCGGGTTGATTCGCGAATTAAACAATAAAGAATTTTATTTTCAGTTGGGTTAAAGTTAACCTATCGCTATCGCTATAACGATATAATTTGATTACATGACGTTAATGGTCTTAGTAATAATTTGAGTGACTTTAACCCGGGTCAAAGTAGAAAAAACATTACGTAATTTGAATTGACTACTGTTTTCCACTGAACATGTGACCGAAAATAAACCCGGCATCATCCATCAAATATTTCCATTATAGTTATTAGAGATAATCAATAGGCTGATGAGCCAATTTGTATCACAATCACTGAGCAGTTACACTAGCGGTAGGAGCTTTTCTGCAATTGCCGCAAATACATGTTAATTTCTGATCGGAAATCATGTAAGTACATATAAGAAATATATATAAACATAGCTGATAGAAGAATAATAAATAATCTCCTTAAAATCAGTGATTTTATCTCTTGATCAATGTTTACAATGCATCACACAATCAAATTCTAAATAATGATTTAAACTAAATTAGGGTCGATTTAAGATTAGCCAACTTAGGGCGTGCATTACTGCATCCATGTCACAAATGTAAGTTTGAATACCTATGACTAATGATAATTATTATATCATAATAACCATACTTTTATAGGATGTTATTATATAAACTAAGAGGCCTTGGTCCGTATGCGAACCGGTTATATGTGGTTTTTGGTTTTAATGTAACAACCCAAACTCTTAACAAAGATTGTACCAGGCGAATATTGCATTAATTTGGGCAATTTTTCTCAACCGCTGCTGTTACGTACGTACAGTACATACGTACTTGATACGTATTTCAGATAAAAATGATAATACGTAGTTCCTGGTTTACGGCTTATTATATGACAAATGCGTATGTGTAGCGTATATGTTCTAACTAAATTAGTATCCCAAAAAGCGCTATCGTTCGAAAATCGAAGTGTAGAAGCGGTAACGGTAATAATTTTAAAATTTATTTCCTAAATAAAATCAAGGTACTTTAGAAACGTAAAGGTTTGCTAAAAATAAAAGAAAATCGTTTCATTAAAAAAAAAAAAGATTTTCTTTGTATATTACGTTTTATTTATTTATTTTTTTATTATTATTAAGTCTATACAGAATATTTTAAAAAAATTGATGATACAAGTTTATTTATATATTTAACGATAGTGCAAATTTATATCGTATGATTGCCATATCGCATGATTTTTCAAGAATAAATTAATTCTGTTCATGAGAAGGTGGTGAAAATAAAGAATTTTTATATGTAGGTTTTGGTCGCGATAATGGACTATTTGATGTTGTACTACAACTACTATGATGACTATGATGACCATTATTTGGAGTCACATTTTTATCGCTTGAAACGTTATTTTCAGAATGTGTTGACATGTCCGATATCGAAAATAGTGTTCGATAAGACCTTTTTGGTTCATTTTGCCCATCCTCTAAATCATCATCAGAATTGTGATTGAATAAATATCGTATTATTTCAAGAAGGACTGTAAGGTAAAATAAGGCGGTATATGACCACATTAGTAAGAAATCTAGCATTCTAATCATACATGCTTGATTTAATATTTGTGATTTATAGTGATAGATTCGAGGGCAAATTAATGGTATTGAGTCTAAATCTTGGAAAAGGAATACGGTGTAGGTTGCTTTATTCAAAAGAAAAATTATGTTTGTATAAGAATCGTATATATGCGCATAATTATCGAAATATACATTATATAAAAAAAACATAAATAAATACCTGGAATTACTGTCCACGCGAGTATAAAGATGAAACATACTCTTGCTCTTTCTCGTTGTTTATAAAGACTATACGATCCTCGACAAATTGCGCATGTAAAAGTAACTGTATGAATAATTATTTAATATGCTTTTAATAATAACTCTTTTAACTCTTTTAAGACGAAAAGTGAATACTTACTATCTTTAAGAAGAGTTATAGCCGTCAATGCTAAATAACTGAATCAGAAAAAAAGAGTTGAGAATGTGAAATTACATTGAAGGGAATGACATATAAATAATTACATGTCTTCGATAGTTGAATCCATCCTAATATCTTCATCTTCAAGTTTACTAAAAATTACAAGTTTTGTAATTTCTGTATAATTGACAATCATTAATGAAAATTGTAAGCAAATTTCTTTTCTTTTTAACCATTAAATTAACTCACCAAACCCGAGACAAACTATATTAAGTAACATCAACGCATAAAAACACAATGCGAATAATATTATTCGGCAGTCCATGATATATAACAATGAAGATAAGAATGTTTGCGAATTCGTCGTTATCGGTTTAAAATTTTCGCAAAATACAAGATCGAGTTCTTTTTTTTCTTTTTTTGTGAAACTGAAAACAAACGTTAAGAAAAAAATGTTAATAATGAATAGTTGTGGTTTACCAGTTACAATGTCATTTATCAGAAAAGTTTCGCTGTGATATCATATGAAATAAACAAAAATCTTTATTTACCGTTAATTTATAAAATATTTACAAGGATAAAAATATCATAAAAAATTGGTGAATTGTTTTGATTGCACTTTATATACAATTTAAAAGAAAAAAATTGGAAACTTGATCCGTAAATCACCTATCCAAATTCTTCAGAGTTTAAATAAGGAACATTATCGTTATGTAGTGCTTGCATTGTGAATATCAAAATTTATTCGTCAATCAGTAAATAGTCTTTCTATTATTATAATTTGGAAATATATTTCTGAAAATGAATGGCTAGTTAAGCAATTTAAAAAGCCTGCTGCTCGTGTCCAAAATAATATATTGTGTTGCAAATGAGGTTGACATATGCAAAAGTCTACGTACGTAGTTAATTAAGAATTAACTCAAATTTTTATTTATAAATAATATCATTATTCTAGTGTATTCTAGTGTCAGTTACCATTTGAAGTATGTATGGGATCAGTGCGACTCAATTAGCGTAACTCATTTCAAGCCATTAAAATTCGTACGTAACTTCATACAAGATTAAATTTGTACGTAGCGGTAAGTGAATGTATGCACATAAATGTGCAAGAGAATAATGCAGAACCTATTTATATAATGGATGTAAAGTTCTTTTTCTCGTCGTCTTGATTCTAAATATGGAAGTTCTATAAATTCCCAAAATTTTTTTATAACGGTTACGCAGTAAAATTACTAACTACGTAACATATTTTCATGTAACCTTTAAATGCAATACGTACAAAAAAAATTCACCCTTAAAAATCGGAATCGGGAACTTTCACGAATAAAAATCCAAAATGGTTTCAACTTATCGTTATTGGGTACACTGAGAGACCAAAAATTTCAAAGTTTTTGGATGTTTTTTATTCGGTAAAACGCGATAATTATCTTACATTGTACCAACCTTATAATGATCCTTAAAAGTTAGTATAACTATCACAAGAGTACATAATATGCGTAATTAGAAGTATAATTTATTGTTACAATCCATAATTTTTTTCTCCGAATACATAAACCTAATTCTAAAAACCCCCAAAAAAAGTTCATAATCGCAAAAGTTTGTTTATTTTTTTTTGTATTACAGAAATAACACCCGGAATTAATTATGTCTCAATAACGGCCTAGTCAATTCTAATAAACTTTAAAAGCTTGTGAACCTACAAGATTCTGAAACAATTGAGATATTATTGAAATATAGTATCCTTGCTGTAAGTTTAAAAAAAATTTATCTAAATATTTTTAAATATTTAATAACGGCTTGACCATTGTTATTAACAATATATCATTAGCATATATCTAAAATTAATGACTTAAGCTCTTTATGCAAAAACCAAAATAATTTGAATTACCTTCCTAGTTTAAATTCTAAATACTTGATTATACTATCAGATTAAGGGGTAAATCGTGATTGGGGGTATAGCCATAGAAAAAAAAACTGGGGAATATTACTATATTTGTTAGCGTTAGAAGCAAAGCAAGTGTCAACCGACATATGGCATACAATTGTATATGTCTTAAATGGTCAAATTAATTGACTTCCGCAAGATCACGTTAAAAAAACTTACGACCAAAGATTTGTAATCACATCTTCACATATTGTATCATAACTTGAGTCAGTCGGTCTAGTCGATGTAGTCGCCTCCTGTTCGACTTACATCAGGAAATTTTAAAACCTGATTATAATACAACAGGGGAAACATCATCACATGAAGGTGGTTTCATCTGGTTCTATTATAATTGATTACAAACAGTTAAATCGATTGATCTTAATTGGTTGCTATTGGTAGGGATCAGTGCACGAAAATTTTCCCGACTGATGAAAATTGTCTTACGTAAACGGAGATCTCCGGCATTTAACAATAAGTTTTGTGTTCTGGTAAGTCGAGTTAAATCAAAATCGATTATAATCAAATATATATGTTGTAAGTGGAAACGGACTTTAAGTGAATTCGGAATTTTTATATAAAACCAGCATTTTGGGGTTGATTTTTATCCCTTACCGTTACACCGTTTCGCAGGCAAATTTACCTGCGAGTTGCATTTCTCGGCAAGACTAACTCTGTTTGTTCGATAATCTTCGAAAAATGTCATTTTTTTTAGCACACCACTTCTCTCTCCTTTTATTTCTTCGCTCACTTTTTGGGGTTCTTTGAAATCACGATTTTGTACTACCTCAAAATGTCCGCAGAACTGCGCAAGCAATTTTGGGGGCTAAAAAACGTGATGACGATTGGGTATCTACGTACCGGCAATTCGACTTACAGAGTTAAGGGATAATATATATGTTGTGCCTCAGATACATCCTTGCGTCAGATGACGCCCGGCCTGAGCTAGGATTAGGGTTAGAGTGAAACTTACAAGCCAATTATTGCAGATCATTTGACGCCGGTCGTCTGGTAGTCATCTGACGTGCGTTAGCCACAACATAACACCCTCTAACCTAATTTAACTAGGAAATTCCAAATGAGTGAAAACCTGGAAATCCGATTTAATGATTTACTATGATCGGTTTCCAGGTTTTCACTCTCACGCATTCAAATACAAAAAAGCGATTACAAGCAATTTTAAATTAATCGATTATAATTATTTTATGTTGATTACAATCATAGAATCTCTATTGAATTTATTGCGCTTTGCGAAATTCTGTGACCTCGATTATTATATATTTATAAAATGATCGTGATTGTAAAGCTGGCCAATTTATCATAAATCTGGGTTATATTTATAATAATTTGATCAGCTTTAGCAATCACAAGGGGGATCACAGAATTTTGCAAAGCGTAATAATAATCATGTTGTAATACCCTAGCATCACAGTTAAATTATGGTTAAGGTTTGCTATGAAGTTAGGTCAGAAAGAGTCTTTCTGATACCAAAATTTCGCAATAAAAACAGTTTCATAGGTAAAATGTTGAGTTATGGCCGATTTTTGGATTTGTTTTAAATTTTTTTTTTTTTTTTTTTTGCGTTATACCGGATCTTGAAACCCAAAATAGTAGTGAAATTTTTTAGGGTGTTGATGCTAGGCTAGTGGTTGGAACCAGGTTTATTTTTAACTGGTTTCAGCAACTTTTCAAAAATCAAAACTGAATATAAATCGGTTATATTATCAGCTAAATTCGATTAATCAGTTATATATATATATATATTATTTTATTTTTTTTTTTTTTATAAGAGAGGTCTTTCCTCTAGTTCTTTATTTCGGTAATATATAATTAAGTACATTAGTACAATTAATCAGTTATATTAATTCAAATCCGATTATTAAGTTATATTAATCTGGTTAAGTTCAATTATTTGGTTATATTAATTCAATTAAGCCTAATTACTCAGTTATATTAATCCAATTAAATTTGATTATTTAGTTATATTAATCTGATTAAATCTAATTATTCAGTTATATTTACATAAATTCAATTAATCAGTTATATTAATCTGATTAAATTTGATTAATTAGTTATATTAAATTTTGATATGATTAATATATATAATGTATATTTTTTAATACAAAGATAGTGTATTCAGAACAATATTATAAAATCAATAAATTCAAATACAAATCCAGTATGTATATATATTTAATATAAAAATTTATAATAAAGATTGTTTCTGTTAGTTAACAGATTTTAACAAAAAAATACATATTTTTTTTTGATATTTTAATAAAATTCAAGTATTTTAAGAATAATATTAAAAAATATAAAACTTTAAAATTAAATTATCTATAGCAATAAATTAAAATAAAATAATATAAGTAATAATAGCTAACAGTAATAACTGTGTATTTGTATATAAATTTTTATAAAAAAATACAATTATTTAAATAATTATTATAACAGATTAAAATAAAATTATTTTTTTTTTGTATTAAGGTAAGATTTTTCCTTTATCTTTATTATTAATTTGTTATAGGCAACTACATAAGTTAACATAAGCCAGAGTCAATTTACAAATTTTTTACAAAAATGAGACTCAGACTATAAACAAAATTATTATCTAATTTTATCTAATTTATCTGTAATCTAAACCTACTAGAGTGATTAAAACTTATCTAAATTTGATAATATAAAATGTTATTGGTAAGAGTATTATAGTTTATTTATTTAAATATCTATTTAAATAGTTTTTTATTTGCTTCTCTTTGTAATGAGCAAATATAAGAGTTGTAGAAATCACCTATATACTGTTGATCAATAAGTCTGCAATTGCAACTATAGATATAGAATAACCTATTTTGTAATAGTAATCTAGTTGAAGTATTAGAGTTTGTTGGTCAATTATGAATTAGTTGGTTAGGAATATTGTTTTGTTATTTTTATTTTAATAGTTTAAGAGTAGAGGATACTATATTGAAATTATTTATAAACTAAATAGTAAAATTTTTGGATTTGGTTTGTTTTACTAACACTCAATTCACTAACATCTTATTTTACTATTATTTAATTTGCTAACAAGTTTATTTTATAGACAATTATTTTACCAATATTTAATTTACTACCAAGTTTAATTTGCTGACAAGTTTATTTTACCAACAATCAATTCACAGACAATTATTATACTGACAAGCTTATTTCACTGACAGTACATTTTACTGACAAACATTTCACCAACAGTACACTTTACAGACAAGTATAATTAATTTACATATATACTTAAT